TTATGTCAGTATATAAATGTAAAAAATCTATAACAGATCTATAAAAAAATATTTTTTATAATACGAAATTCGTACATATTATTCACAGATTTTCATTTCAGTACCAAAAAATTAATTATTATGAAAATTGTTAATTAATCTCGTCTTCTTAGCCAAAAGAAAATTCCCTATTAAAAAATTGCTGTGATTTTCAAAACCCTTCTCAACTTTTCTATACTCTTCCCCTTTGTATGCAAACATATGTTGTTATAGTAGTTTGCAAGGTAAAACAACATAAATAAAATTTGACAGTTTTTTGACATGAGTATTTAGTGCTGCGCAGTGCAGCTACAATTTGCATTGGAGCCCATAAACTGGAAATGGAAATGAAGTTTGTCATATTAGCAAGGTAATGCAATGCCTGCCACACACAACAAATATTGACTTCTATGATCGGTAATGCTTAAATAATATTTATGAATTATTTGCGTAGGCTATAATGCTACAGGAGGTTAAGGAAATCATAAATTTTGCTAAGGCAACTAAATAAAGTTGGGAATTTATTTCAATCTTAAAAAAACATATTTACAATTTTTCTAAAATTTGAATCCTTTTGGGAGAAGTAATAGAAGTTTACTGCTAAATTTATATTCAAACATAATCTATGTTTGGTAAAATTATTAGTTTGGCCAAGATGTAGATCAAATGGGATAATTATAAAATTTCAAAATGTTCAACCCATGTATCGGGTGAAGAAGTGGACCAATAATACCCATCCTCGAACATAATATTAGGCTGTTCAATTTTTGGATTAAAGTTGATAATCCGAACTCATGAAAGGTACCACAAGGACGGTCAGATATCCCCTATGTTCGATCTTCATTAATGTTTGGAAATTGGTAGCAGGTGCAATGTATGGAATCACCTCGATATCCCCTTCCATGGATTTTGAAATTTTAATTCAAACTTTTTCACACAATTAACTATTGATTCAATATAGCGCCAAAGAAAATGAAATTTATGTAAGCTGAACTGTTTTTTAAGTTGAACTACTGGCTGTTTCATGGATTTTCCATTTCCACATTTTCCCATATTCATGGTACATTTAAAGAAATTAATCTTTACAAATACACTCGAAATTAAATGTCAGTTGAAATGGAAAGTGGAACAAATTCAAAAGTCTACGCTTATGGTAGACATTGTACGTTAGGCTTTAAATAACATATTTTTTAAAAAATCTAAGCCAAAGGAAGAGGTAATAAAATATTTTTTTTTTTTAATTTAAGCCAAGGTTTGAATTTAAAAAAAATATATTCTTATAAAATTTAAAATAGACTTTTAAAAAATCTACGTATACTCTGAAAAAAATCTGTTCGACTCTGAAAATATCCTCGTCTATGGTATGTTTTAAAAATATTTGTTGTTCTGAAAAATATATTATAAAAAATCTACGACGTAGTTTTTGAAGAAAGTATTTTTTATACACTTCACCACACTGTGGTACAGGGTATTAATTATTTGTGCATATGTTTGTAACAGGCAAAAGGAAACGAGATAGACACATGATTCATTTTGAGAATATGAATAGAATCACTTTTTAAGTCCATTTACGCATGTCCGACCGTCCGTCTGTCTGTCCATGTTAAATTGTAAACAAAGTACAGGTCGCATTTTTGATTCGAATTGGATGAAATTTGGCACAGCTCATTTATTTGGCTCAGGGACGAACCCTATTGAAATTGGGAAAATCGGTTCAGATTTAGATATAGCTCCAATATATATTTTCGTCCGATTTTAGGTAAATGATGCACCAAAGTCCCTAAATATCCTTCGATATGTACGAAATTTGGCACAGAGTACTGAATTAAGTATAGAACGATGAGTATTAAATTTCATGAAAATCGGTTCAGATTTAGATATAGCCCCTATATATATTTTCGTCCGATTTTAGGTAAATAATGCACCAAAGTCCCTATATAACTTTCGATTTGCAAGAAATTTTACATAGCGCACTGAACTAAGTCTAGAGTGAATTGTGCAAAATTTCGTGAAAATCGGTTTAGATTTCTACATAGCACCCATATATATTTTCGTTCGATTTTAGGTAAATGTTTCACCAAAGTCCCTTTATATATACATCGATTTGAATGAAATTGGCGTACTGAATTGAGTCTAGAATAATGTGTGGTTAGTGTAGGACAAATCGGTTCACATTTCGATATAGCTCCCACATATACATATATATTCATCCGATTTTACATAAATGGTGCACCAAACTCCCTATTGTTTGTCCGCTTATAACGAAATTTTGCACAACGTATCAAATTGAGACTTGGATGACGTTATTGCGTTTCATTGAAATTGGTGCAGATGCAGCCATAGTTTCCACATTTATTTCGAACGGGTCTCTGATTGAAATTAAATTTTTAACAAAGCGGCGTACCGAATAGTGTGTATCAATTTAGTTATAAATCGTTTTTATACCCTTCACCACACTGTGGTACAGGGTATTATGTCTTTGTACATATGTTTGTAACAGGCAAAAGGAAACGAGATAGACATATGGTTCCTTTTGAGAATATGCATAGAATCACTTTCTAAGTCGATTTATGCATGTCCGTCCGTCTGTCTGTCCATGTTAAATTGTAAACAAATTACAGGTCGCATTTATGATCCGAATTGGATGAAATTTGGCATAGGTCACTTATTCGGTCCAAGGACGAACCCTATTGAAATTGGGAAAAATCGGTTCAGATTTAGATATAGCTCCCATATATATATATATATATATATATTTAACCGATTTAATGTAAACGGTCCCTATATAACTTTCGATTTGCACGAAATTTGGTACAGCCTAATCATTTAGGTCTAGAATGATGTCTGCCAAGTTTCCAGAAAATTGTCCAGATTTAGATATAGCTCCCATATATAGTTTCGTCCGATTTCATGTAAATGGTGCACCAAAGTCCCTATATATCTTTCGATTTGCACGAAATTTGGCATAACGTACTGAATTGAGCCTAGAATGATGTCTGCCCAGTTTCGAGAAAATCGGTCCAGATTTAGATATAGCCATATATAGTTTCGTCCGATTTCATGTAAATGATGCACCAAAGTCCCTATATATACTTCGATTTGCACGAAATTTGGCATAACGTACTTAATTGGGCCTGGAATGATGTCTGCCGAGTTTCGAGAAAATCGGTTTAGATTTCTATATAGCTCCCACATATAGTTTCGTCCGATTTCATGTAAATGGTGCACCAAAGTCGCTATATATATTTCGATTTGCACGAAATTTGGCATAACGTACTGAATTGAGCCTAGAGTGATGTCTGCCGTGTTTCGTGAAAATCGGTCCAGATTTAGATATAGCTCCCTTTTATTATAGATTGATTTTAAGTAATTGACGCACCAAGGAGCCAATAGGAACAAAACGTTCTGAAATTAGTATAACCTAACCTGTGACAAGTTTGTTTGAAATCGCTTAATATTTGGATAGAGCTTCGATATATAGTTTCGCCCGATTTCAAGTAAATAGGGCATCATACTCCTCATGTTAGTCAGATTGACATCAATTTTTGCACAACGTACAAAATTGAGCATAAAATTACGTAGTTGCGTTTTCTAGAAGTACAGACATAGCGAAAAGGATGACCTATTTATATTTGTTTGAAGTCGATTTACATACTTTATGGATAGATCTAGGTAGATTCAGATTTATATAAATATCACATATTTTATTTAATCCAATTTCATGTTAATAGTCCTGTTTAATATACCCACAGTAGTCGGCCCCGTCCGACTTTACTACTTTCCTTACTGTTTTTTTTTCATAAATTTGTTCCATGGTACGCAGACGACTCTAAATCTGTCCGAATGAAATTACATTTATCATATGTTGCAGATTTGTATGTTCCTTGGAGAGAACATTGACATGCAATTGTAAGGATACATATGTACGGTATACCCAAAGTGGTGAAGGGTATCATATTGTCGCCCCGGCCGACTTTACAACTTTCCTTACTGGTTAAAGCCTATACTAATGCTGTGCAAGCATGGGAACAATTAGTTCTTTCTCTGCGTTGTCTTTTAGTAAGTCATTTCATATGGCGGGTTCTTATTTATTCTTTTCACACCCCTAGTCTGTTCCTATTTTTACTTACTTGTTTTCCATGAGTGTATTCATAAATTATCAGTTCATTTCTTCCGCGCCGTTTTACTTTTTGTTTTTTTGGTTCGGTATGGGTCAAATGTTACTGGAACATGAACGTATTATTGCATTAATGCAATGAATAAATTTTGCTAAAAAGTTCCGCATTACTTTTCTTTTTTCTTCTTCTTTGCTTTTTTAATTTTTTATGGAACAAACGCAACGAAGTAAAGTGTAAATAAAATACAGAAAAAATTGGGTTTCCTTATGTGCAACGACGCACTGACTGACTGGTTGGCTACTCGATATTCGATTCATCATTTATGCAACATACAGATAATTTTTAATTTACTTCACACAAATTAATGGATTTTCCGTATCGTGGATGCGTGTGTAAGAAAATAATAGAGCTGTCGGTTGAGATCTAATTTTTATACAAAATAAAAAAATCACACTAAAAATAAATGATCCATTTAGTAGAAGAAATTTACTAAAGTAATGAAAAATCCGACCAATTTCATTTTGTGGGCAACCCCATTTCAACTGTAATGCCTAAAATTAAAAACCAGTGCGTTGTGGCACATATTGCATGCTTCACACACGCATTTAAACGCGGTGCTGCCACAAATCGATTGATGAAAAAAGCGTGTTAACATTGACAAGCAGCGGCATAACAAAACCAACCAACAAAAAAAGACTATTCCGCCCACCGACACGCTATTTGATGGAGGGGGAGTGTGCACCTACCTATATATATACATTATGTGTTAACATGTTTTCACTCTACATTTACCATCACTACACACGTACATACATATGTATGTGCAGCTGATGCGTTGTCGTGTCGTCATTTGGTGAAACTTACCTTCCAGTTAGTTTTACTGCTCGACGAGGATGAATGTTTTCCGCAAATATTACCATTAGCGGTACTACTGTTGTTGTTGTTATTATTTATGGTTTTTGGTGATTTGTCGGAACCGGAAGTTTTTCCATCACTTTGTGATTTTTTATTCTGCAAAGAAAAATGAAGATAATGAGACATTTTATTAGTGAAGTGCATAATTTGGCTTAATTAATTACTTAGAGGTGATAACATAACATAACATCAAAAAATATTTTTAAAAAATCTACGCCTATGGTAGGACTTTAAAAATATTTTTAAAAAATCTATGCCTATGGTAGGATTTCAAAAAATATTTTTAAAAAATCTATGCCTATGGTAGGATTTCAAAAAATATTTTTAAAAAAATCTACGCCTATGGTAGGACTTTAAAAATATTTTTAAAAAAATCTACGCCTATGGTAGGACTTTAAAAATAATTTTAAAAAATCTACGCCTATGGTACGATTTCAAAAAATATTTTTAAAAAAATCTACGTCTATGGTAGGACTTTAAAAATATTTTTAAAAAATCTACGCCTATCCTCAAAAGCCATCGTAGGACTTCAAAAAATAGTTTTAAAAAATCTACGCCTATCCTCAAAAACAATCGTAGGACTTCAAAAAATATTTTTAAAAAATCTACGCCTATCCTCAAAAACCATCATAGGACCTCAAAAAATATTTTTAAAAAATCTACGCCTATCCTCAAAAACCATCGTAGGACCTCAAAAAATATTTTTAAAAAATCTACGCCTATCCTCAAAAACCATCGTAGGACCTCAAAAAATATTTTTAAAAAATCTACGCCTATCCTCAAAAACCATCGTAGGACCTCAAAAAATATTTTTAAAAAATCTACGCCTATCCTCAAAAACCATCGTAGGACCTCAAAAAATATTTTTAAAAAATCTACGCCTATCCTCAAAAACCATCGTAGGACCTCAAAAAATATTTTTAAAAAATCTACGCCTATCCTCAAAAACCATCGTAGGACCTCAAAAAATATTTTTAAAAAATCTACGCCTATCCTCAAAAACCATCGTAGGACCTCAAAAAATATTTTTAAAAAATCTACGCCTATCCTCAAAAACCATCGTAGGACCTCAAAAAATATTTTTAAAAAATCTACGCCTATCCTCAAAAACCATCGTAGGACCTCAAAAAATATTTTTAAAAAATCTACGCCTATCCTCAAAAACCATCGTAGGACCTCAAAAAATATTTTTAAAAAATCTACGCCTATCCTCAAAAACCATCGTAGGACCTCAAAAAATATTTTTAAAAAATCTACGCCTATCCTCAAAAACCATCGTAGGACCTCAAAAAATATTTTTAAAAAATCTACGCCTATCCTCAAAAACCATCGTAGGACCTCAAAAAATATTTTTAAAAAATCTACGCCTATCCTCAAAAACCATCGTAGGACCTCAAAAAATATTTTTAAAAAATCTACGCCTATCCTCAAAAACCATCGTAGGACCTCAAAAAATATTTTTAAAAAATCTACGCCTATCCTCAAAAACCATCGTAGGACCTCAAAAAATATTTTTAAAAAATCTACGCCTATCCTCAAAAACCATCGTAGGACCTCAAAAAATATTTTTAAAAAATCTACGCCTATCCTCAAAAACCATCGTAGGACCTCAAAAAATATTTTTAAAAAATCTACGCCTATCCTCAAAAACCATCGTAGGACCTCAAAAAATATTTTTAAAAAATCTACGCCTATCCTCAAAAACCATCGTAGGACCTCAAAAAATATTTTTAAAAAATCTAAATAAAAAATATTTTTAAAAAATCTACGCCTATCCTCAAAAACCATCGTAGGACCTCAAAAAATATTTTTAAAAAATCTACGCCTATCCTCAAAAACCATCGTAGGACCTCAAAAAATATTTTTAAAAAATCTACGCCTATCCTCAAAAACCATCGTAGGACCTCAAAAAATATTTTTAAAAAATCTACGCCTATCCTCAAAAACCATCGTAGGACCTCAAAAAATATTTTTAAAAAATCTACGCCTATCCTCAAAAACCATCGTAGGACCTCAAAAAATATTTTTAAAAAATCTACGCCTATCCTCAAAAACCATCGTAGGACCTCAAAAAATATTTTTAAAAAATCTACGCCTATCCTCAAAAACCATCGTAGGACCTCAAAAAATATTTTTAAAAAATCTACGCCTATCCTCAAAAACCATCGTAGGACCTCAAAAAATATTTTTAAAAAATCTACGCCTATCCTCAAAAACCATCGTAGGACCTCAAAAAATATTTTTAAAAAATCTACGCCTATCCTCAAAAACCATCGTAGGACCTCAAAAAATATTTTTAAAAAATCTACGCCTATCCTCAAAAACCATCGTAGGACCTCAAAAAATATTTTTAAACCAGTAAGGAAAGTAGTAAAGTCGGACTAGGCCAACTATATGATACCCTTCACCACTTTGGTACATTGTACATATGTATCCGTACAATTGCATATCAATGTGCACTCGATGGAATATACTCATGCCTTTCTGCAACCCCTGCTAAATTTAATTCCATTCGGACAGATTTAGAATCGTCTGCGTACCATGGGACAAATTTATGGAAAACGGTACGTCGCACTGTTATAAATTTAATCTCATTTAGACACCCGTTCGAAATACATATTGAGGCTATGCCTGCATCTGCACCAATTTCAACAAAACGCAATAACGTTATTCAAGTTTCAATATGATACGTTGTGCAAAATTTCGTGTTAATCGGACAAACATTAAGAGTTTGGTGCATCATTTATGTAAAATCGGACGAATATATATGTATATGTGGGAGCTATATCGAAATTTGAACCGATTTTTCCGAAAAGTAACATACAACATTCTAGACGCAATTCAGTACGCTATGTCAAATTTCGTGCAAATGCAAGCATATAAAGGAACATTGGTGCACCATATACATAAAATCGGACGAAATTATATATGGGAACTATATCTAAATCTTAACCGATTTTCACGAAACTTAGCACACATCATTCTGGATATAATTCAGTACCCTATGCCAAATTTCGTGCAGATCGAAAGATATATGGGAACTATGGTGCCTCATTTAGCTTAAATCGGACGGAAATATATATGTGAGCTATATCTAAATCTGAGCCGATTTTCTCGAAACGTAACACACATCATTCTAGGCTTAATTCAGTACGATATGCCAAATTTCGTGCAAATTGAAAGATATATAGGGACCTTGGTGCACCATTTACATAAAATCGGACGAAATTATATATGGGAACTATATGTAAATTTGAACCGATTTTCAGGAAACTTAACACACATCATTCTAGACCTAATTCATTACGCTGTGCCAAATTTCGTGCAAATCGAGAGATATACAGGGACTTTGGTGAACCATTTACATTAAATCGGACGAAAATATATATGAGAGCTATATCAGACGGACGGACAGACGGACATACGTAAATCGACTCAGAAAGTGATTCTATGCATAATCCCAAAAGGAACCATGTATCTGTCTCGTTTCCTTTTGTCTGTTACAAACATATGCACAAAGACATAATACCCTGTACAATAGTGTGGTGAGCAGTATAAAAAGAGGGTTATATGGGGACGACCCCAAAAAGGGGGCGAATATTAAACATTTTTGGTAGGGAGATTTGTTACCATATATGACTACAAAATACCAAATTGCAGCGAATTCGGCTGAAAAACGCGCTCAAGAGCACCAAAATATCGAAAATTAGGGGTACCCTTATATGGGGGCTATTCGAAAAATGGACCTATATTTACAATTTTTTGTCGAGAAATTTTGTTCCTATTAAGAAATCAAAATACTAAATTACAGCCAATTCGGTATAAAAATACGATCAAAACCCTGACAATTAGGAGGTACCGTTATATGGGGGCTACCAGAAAAAGTGGACCTATATTTATAATTTTTTGTGGAGACATTTAGTACCCAATAAGAACTCAATGTACCAAATTTCAGCTCAAAAACCCCAAAATATCGAAAATTGGGGTACTGTCATATGGGAGCTATGCCTAAACGTGGAACGATATCGAACTTGACCTGCCTGAAAACAAAAGACAATCCTATGCAAAATTTCAGCACCCTATCTCAATTCCTTCAGAAGATAGCGTGATTACAATAGACGGACGGACGGACATGCCTAGAATTTTACCCTGATCAAGAATATATATACTTCATAGAGTCCGAAAAGAATATTTCGATGAGTTACAAACGGAATGACAAAATTAATATACCCTCCATACTATGGTGGAGGGTATAAAAACTACGCCTAGGGATATTAAAATAAAATACTAACCAAGAAAATATTAAAAAAAACTACGCCTATAATAGCCTTCAAAAACATGTTTAAAAAAAAACATACGCCTATATAATGTTTCTAAAATTTGTATATTTTTTGTTCAGAAGACTTTGCAAATGGTATTCCTTGCTTAATTACACCATTGACAGATCTTCTAGACCTTGAAAAGGCTTTCATTTTGTATAATACATCACTTAAGATTTTTTACTCTATAGGAGATCTCTCAGGAGAGGACCAAAATTACGTTTTATTTATCAATAAAATTAAAGTTGCAGGGGTCTTCAAACTCTCTCCGATATATATTGCAGATTCCTAAATATTTTTTTATTTTCCATTAGTTCTATTTATTTATATACTATATAAAGAGAGATAATAAACAACATAACAATAAATAATTAAGCTTACCAATGATTAATTATTTATTGTTTTAAACAAAAAAATGTATTCAGAAATTCCTCACGACAACATCATCGCCATTTATATTCCTCTGATGAGTTCAGTGTGAAAGAAACATCTTTGTCAACATAAATAGACCTAGATTAATTAATAATTTTGTTTTTGTTTCGGTTTTGAAGTTCTGGGAATAACGGCATTTCCTCATCAAGTCAGAAAGAAAAAAAAACAATATGACCGACCAGACATGACTTGTAAATTAAATTAGCAATCACACGTTAATATAATTAAAAATTCAAACATCAACAACAACAACATAAAAGCAACTGCCAAACAAAAATGTTTCGCCGGAGAACAAGAATTTTTTTTCAGACTTAAAACAAAGTCATCATCTTCATAATCATAAATTGTCACATGAA